GTGAGCATGGAAGTGGGGCCACAGATTTTCCGTGGAGTTTAGCTAAAGCAGAGTGATTATTGTCTGAAAGGTTTTTGTCTTACCATGCTGTCCCTTTCTTGGTGTTCTGGCAGGGCTTTTGTTGGACGTCTTTTTATGTGTGCCTGCCCCTGGGTTGCCAGTTTCTACTGCTCCAAGACTGGGATATGTAAGGCTAAGGAAAACTTAAGGAACTCACCATGTTGTTCCTTGAATCTTAAGGGCTGTAACTAGTCTGTTTCCTTCTCTCCAACTTTTAGAGTCTTGTTTGCCATATATATAATGTCCAGGGTTTTATTTGTACTTCATGAGAGGAATAGCAAAAACATAAGTTTACAGCATCTTCCTTGAAGTTGAAGGTGGTCTCAACTCCTTTTTATAGGATGATCCAGTTAAACATATGTGTAAAATTTTTTTAAGTAATTAATTTATTTAGTTTTTACTGTGCTAGGTCTTTGTTACTGCACACAGGCTTTCTCTAGCTGAAACAAGTGGGAGCAACTCCCTAGTTGTAGATTGCAGGCTTCTCATTGTGGTACTTCTCTTGTTGTGGAGCATGGACTCCAGGGAGTGTGGGCTTCAGTGGTTGTGGCAGGAGCTCAGTAGTTGCCCTGCAGCATGTGGAATCTTCCGGACCAGGGGTCAAACTCGCATCCCCTGCATTAGCAGGTGGAATCCTAACCCCTGAACCACCTTGGAAGTCCACTTGTAAGTTTTAAGGACAACACATGTGTCTCTTGCTCACTGCCTAGAAACCACACAAGAAAGCACTTACTAGTGTTGAGAGTCCAGCCTTTAATCATCCATGTCGGAATTTGTCAGTTCCCATGGTGATTGAATTCAAGGAAGCGGACTCAGGCTGAACATATTCATGAGAAAATAATGTATACAATTGGACAACCAGTTTGTTTAATTCATAATAATTACCAAATCCTACTTCCATGAAGATCAATAGTGTCTGACTACACAGTTCACTCACAGTAAGTGGTGGTGGAAAAGAAATCAGTTAACCTTTTAATAGCTTTCTTTTGGTTCACCTTTGTTGCTTCCTACTTCTCATTGTGTGCACATTTTATGCGGAACAAATTATTCCAGAACAGTATTCCGGGATTTACACAACTGAGGATTTATCCCTAGAAAGTGCTAAGGATCCACTTTAACTCAGGTGTTTAATAGCTCCAAGCTCTTAGTTCCTGTCTGGCTCTGCAAAAGGCATAATTACCAGGGAGTTCCGACAGGTCAAATTTTGTGATAAGGCACCTTCCTTGTGGACATTTTTCTAATCATCACTGCCAGTTTCCTCTATGATTTCTCTTTGCCTGCAATTCTAATTTGTGAGTAACCTCTTGTTTTCGATATATATATACTAATACCTTTAGGCAGTTTACTATCAGGCCTTGATGTCCATGAGCCTTTTTTCTTTTTTTGGAAATAATTAACTTGGGGTCATGGAGCTGCCTGCCCATGGTTGGGCTCTAGGAGGAAGCTCTGACATGTACACATCAGCTGTTCTGGAGACCAGATCTATTGTTTTTATCATATCCTCAGAGGACCCAAAAAATCATCGTGAGCCACTGTTGCTTGGACAGTTTTGAGCATTACTTTCCTAGAGTGTGAGATGAGTTCAGTAGTGCAGTAGGTGGTTTGAACATTCTTTGGCATTGCCTTTCTTTGGGATTGGAATGAAAACTGACCTTTTCCAGTCCTGTAGCCACTGCTGAGTTTTCCAAATTTGCTGGCATATTGAGTGTAGCACTTTCACAGCATCTTTTTTTAGAATTTGAAATAGCTCAACTGGAATTCCATCACCTTTACTAGCCTTGTTCATAGTGATGCTTCTTAAAGCCCACTTGACTTCACATTTCAAGATATCTGGCTTTAGGTGAATGATCACACCATCGTGGTTATCTGGGTCATGAAGATCTTTTTTGTATGATTCTTCTGTGTATTCTTGCCACCTCTTCTTAATATCTTCTGCTTCTGTTAGGTCCATACTGTTTCTGTCCTTTATTGTGCCCATCTATGCATGAAATGTTTCCTTGGTATCTCTAATTTTCCTGAAGAGATCTCTAGTCTTTAATTTAGGAAATGTCAAATATACAGTTCATATACTTTAATACACATAATGAACCAAGAATAATGATTAATTCTAAAAACATGCTAGTTTCATGCTCTAGATAGAGTTTTAGCACCTTAAAAATTTTTTTAAATCCATAAACTAAATAATAACTTCTTTTAAAGAATAACAAAATGTTTCTTTTCTAAATACTGAGTTCAGAAAAACTAGTGAAAGCATTCAGCATTATTGGTTGTTGGTGTAGCCATTAAAAGTAAAGGTAATTTCATATATATCTGGACTGCTGTAGGAAACAAGCTCTTAAACTTCTGTCAGCACTTAAATGTCAACAGTACTGTTTTATTTCCCATAGTGAAAAAGGGAGATTGAGGACATAACAGTACCGTAATAGTTTTGGATTGTGGTGACAGTTTGGGGTTGCTTAGAAGATAAAATTCCTTTAAAATTACTGAATATAATTATATTCTTAGGCTTTCCATAAATACATGCTGAATTTAGTGAGAGAACTTCCAAATCCTGTGTAGATTCTTGAGCATCATATATTACCTCGATTACAGATTCATTTGTAAACTACTTTAAATTTTGAGAAATAGTGTGCTTTCTAAACATGTGGTATGTGATTCTTAAAAGTCTATCCAGGTTTCTTTTTCTGTTTCTTCTTAGTCTTTTTCTAGTGATTGTCTTTTTTTCTTGGCCCTTAGATGTTTATATTTCCTAAGATTCTGTTCTAAGATTAAACTCTTTTTACATGCTATATATTCTGTAATATCTATGTAGTTTCATCATTCCTATGGTTTTCCAGATGTCTTTCTTCTACATGAATGTTTATTCTCAACACTTGAGCTGTATGCCCAATTACCTACATCTCCTGGGTATCCCAGTCAGTCCAACAATATGTTCTGCATTAAGCTCATCTCGTTTTCTCGGTATTCCCAACCAACTCTCCCCCCTGAAAAAAGATACATATATATGCATGGTATGTGTTCATATGTGTGCTTCTCTTCCTGTTTTGGAAAGCCTGCTGCTAGTAGGGCTTCCCTGATGGCTCAGTGGGTAAAGAATCTGCCTGCAACTCAGGAGACATAGGAAACGTGGGGTCGATCCTTGGGTCAAGAAGATCCCCTGGAGGAGGAAGTGGCAACCCACTCCAGTATTCTTGCCTGGAAATCCCATGAACAGAGGAGCCTGGTGGGCTCCAGTCCATGGGGTCGCAGAGTCAGACATGACTTGGTGACTAAACCACCACCAGTAAGCAGCAGGCTTGGAACTTCAAGTCTTCTGAAGGTGAATCCTCAGCTCAGAGCATACTCTATAATGTAGTGGCCATATCTTCTGAATCAAAATTTAAGATGCATAGTCAAACAATATTTGAAGCCTGAACTTGTTACTGTAATTATACCACATTTCTTTTTTATGTCACTTTACTAAATTGTTTCTGGTATGGTAGATAGATGCTAATACACATAAAATGTAAAATTGCAATTATGTGTATGAATGAGATGGGCATTATGAGGTATATATACATACATCATGTGTGTATGTGTGAGGTTTGACCTAGTTAGGGAGATTAGATGATGCTTCCCTTGCAAGTGATGATTAAATTCAGTGTGACGTTTGAGGAGTTCACTAGGCAGAATTAGGGTAGAGGGAGAATGAATGAGAGTTCGGGGCAGGGTAAGGTAGCTGGCACAGAGATCTGGTGATAGGAGGGTGCCTACTGTGTGTGAGCAGTTGTCTTTGTGCAGAGTAACTTGCAGTCTTGTTACTTCTCCGCCCCTCCCCCCCACCCCAGTTCTTCCCATATTCTTGCTTCTTAATTCTAAAGAATATTTGAAGTTGAAGCTTATATTAAATAGAGAATAGTATCGCTCAGGGAACTCAAACAGGGGCTGTGTATCAACCTAGAGGGGTGGGATGGGGAGGAAGGTGGGAGGGAGGTTCAAAAGGGAGGGGAAATATGTATACCTGTGACTGATTCATGTTGAGGTTTGACAGAAAAGAACAAAGTTCTATAAAGCACTTATCTTTCAATTAAAAAATAAATAATAAGAAAAAAAATGTAACTTGCTTTTCAAACTGCTTGGTGAACAGTCATTAGAATTAGAGGCACCATGGAATTTAATTAATAAACATAGCCAGGACTTATCTGTAGTTTAAAACACCAAAATGAAAAAGGTTTTCTGATATCATCTTTACTCCTGTTACCTAAAATCACACAAGTGTTAATAATCACTGCCCTAGTACATTCTGATAAGGCAGGGGGTTATTACATCCTGTGTATTTCCCAGGTGGTGCAGTGGTAAGGAATCCACCTGCCAAGGCAAGAGACACAAGAGATGCAGGTTGGGTCCCTGGGTGGGGAGGATTCCCTGGAGGAGGAAATGGCAACCCACTCCAGTATTCTTGCCTGGAAAATCCCATGGACAGAGGAGCCTGGCAGGCTGCAGTCCAAGGGGTTGCAAAGAGTTGGACACGACTGAGCACACACACAACTACATCCTAAGTAGTAAATTTCTAAATCACTGCCTAAATTATAAGTGATTTATTTCCTAAGTGTATTTTTACTGTGAAGTTTAGTATTCCATGCAACCTGTCTTTATGTGTTTGAGAATTAATTCAGGCTATAAAAATTCTATTGGAATGGAAAGTGTATTTTGAACAACATGAAAGAACTCTAATCTGTTGTATTCTAAACTCAATGACTTTTTTCTTTTGTTCTTCATATGCATGAGTATTATCTCTCCAAGATAATTCTGAAGTTTTGGTCCTGAAAACATTTCTTCAGTGGTTCTTAACCCCGTTCTTGAGTAGGAGAACTATGTTCCAGGGATAGGAAATTGTTTTCAGTGTTTTACAACTTTCTTTATAGTGTCTTTCAAAACTAAGTTCATATTTTTCTTTGCAGAAAGGGCTATTGCACGACATGAAGTTCGAGAGATTGAGCAGCGACATACCATGGATGGCCCTCGGCAAGATGTAGCTTTAGATGAGGAAGACGACATGGTGATCATTTATAACAGAGTCCCCAAAACTGCAAGCACCTCTTTTACCAATATTGCCTATGACCTGTGTGCAAAGAATAAGTACCATGTTCTTCACATCAACACTACCAAAAATAATCCAGTGATGTCACTGCAAGATCAGGTAAATACCACTTGGATTCATAATGTTTTCTGACACTAACTCAAGTTTTGTCTTTCAAGAAGGTAAAGCATTCTAAGGGATATGTATGCTGAGCCCAGTGGATTGTAAGTTTCTTGGAGGAATGGATCAACCAAACTTCTCTATAGTTTTACATTCTTCACAGTATATGGTACATTTCCTTGCCTACAATATGTATTCAAATACTTGTGAAATAAATGAATTAACAGCTTGAATTTTTGAAGAGAAAGTTGATGCTCTTTAGTATGCTAGCCCTTTAAAACTGTGAAATATTTTTAGCAGGTGCCCTGCAATAAAAATAATTATATTGTCTCAATTCATCACTGAGAAATCTTTATTTGATGAATACTTGTATTCTATATAGCTCAGTTTTGTGACTAGACTCCTGAATTTAATCTTATCTTTATTCATGTAAGTATTGGCTATAAACTTCTGGGGAACAGGGATTATGTCTTGTATTTTTAATATAATCTTGCCCTTCAAGTTATTGAGAATATTTTTTAAAAATTTTTATCAGAGTATAGTTGATTTACAATGTTGTGTTAATTCCTGCTGTTCAACAAAATGAACTCGCTATCCATTTACATGTGTACACTCTTGTTTAGACTCTGACCCCATGTGGGTCATCGCAGTGTTGAGTAGGGATCCCTGTGCTCTGCAGCGGGTCCTTGTCAGTCACCCGCTTTAGATATATGGCAGTATGTTTTGTGTCAGTCCTAACCTCCCATTTATCCCTTCTCTCCTTACCTCCTGGGCTGACCGTAACCTTGTTTTCCACATCTGTAACTGTTTTATAATTAAGTTAATTTGTATCCTTTTATAAAAAGTGCTCCTGTGAACATTGGGGTGCGGTAACTTTCAAGTTATTAAGAATCTTTAGATAAACAGATGGATAGATAATTTATGAAATGGTTTTAAGAAAAGTGGAGGAAGTTATCTCAGAAACTGGAACTGACTCCCCACTTTAGCAGTAGCTTCAGATATTTTCTGCACACCTGGAGTTCTGACTATAATTATAAGTATAGTTCTTTCCACAAATATTAAAGGGAATAGGAGTTGAGCCCCATGATAAGAAAAGATAATATTTGAAAATACTATGTAGGATCAAATACCATATTGAGCTAGCTTATTAGACAGGTATTTGTGATAGTCATGTAGTTAAAATGTATTTATCTGTTTGAAAATGTCTGACCTTGTTTTATTGTCACAGAATTGCTGTTATTCCACTATTTAGCATAGCTTTAATCCTCTCATTGAAGTAAGAGAATAACATTGACACACTCGGTTAGCTTCGCTTTCTTACTAGAGAGCTATTTGTAAAGGCTAATTGTATATGGCATATCATGCGCCCATATAATTCTTGGCTCTCTGCAGTATCCTCAATTATTCTCTTCTGTAGAACCAAAAATCTACACTCATCAGCCAAATCAAATAACTCTTTTGTAAATGAGAAGAAACATGAGCTTATTGAGCTAAGTGGGTCATAAAAACTATTCATTATGTAATTTTGTATATCTCAAGGGCAAGTGTCCTAAATTATCAGATTTTATACAGTGTGTAGTAGATTTTAAATCTGCATGATTACTTTTCAGAATATATCTTGGTTTACAAGGAACAATTCTTAACACTCACATAATAATTTTACATTTCTTCAGTAATATTGTTTAGAAAAATAAAGTTAATTTGTTCAAATTTTTAGAATTATTATGTGTCCAGCATTAGAAAGTTGTCTTGTAGCTGTGATATATCTGATAATGACTTAGACCTCCCCCCCAGCCCCAGCCCATGGAATATAAATCTGCCAAAGCTCACCTTGTCAGACATTTATAGGCATCATGTACTGGTACATTTTTCCAGTTGCATTTAGATGAGATAAAACTTCTGTTTTCCTTTCAATAGCTTGTCGTGTGTGTGTATGTGTTTATGCAACAAAAGAGATGCATAGACACTGTCTTAAAGGCAACATACTTCACAATGTCAGCTGGTAGTTCAGTATCTGTAGTTAATTAGGTAGAACTGGCTTAATATACAAAATGTTCTCTAATACACCATATCTAATTTTTTTTTAACTGATCTTTTCTTCTGAATTGAAACAGTTCTTCAAACAAGTCATAGGTGCTATTTCCTTTCCCTTTGCATGACATATTAGATAGCATTTTAATTTTACTTTCAGCCTAGTATAAGCTTCCTCTAAGTGTAAACTTTTGAATTATAATATTAGATGCCTTGAAAATAATTTCAAAAATATTTCCTGAAAATCATCTTATATAATACTTGATTTTAATACCATATTTTTATTGTCCTTGTGAACTGTTCTGAACTGCCCTATTATTTAAATAAAAATTAATAAATGACCTATTTTGCTCTTCTTTCTTCTCTGAGAAATAGTTTCTAATCAATATCTAACTCAAATGAGACTTATAAAATGAGATTTTTAAAAAATCTGCTATTGTCTTGATCTTCTATATCAAGCCCAATTTACTCGTCAAAATACTTAGGGATATAGTAGATGATCATGCCCTCCATTCTGTCATCTTCCAGCCTCAGCAGTCCAGTCTGCTTAATATCTGCCTTTAATATCCCCAGTTCTTTCCTAGACTCATTTTTGTATGGGAGACTGTGCTGAACTTTTTATCTGCTTAATCATTCTTCTCAAAAATCTTAGAGGTAAAGACAGAATATTTCTGGTCTGATATAAAATATTTCCTATGTAACAGTTATGTGTATTCTTAGACACTCTTCTTTCCTTTATTGCACATGTAATGTATACTGAGATTATGATACATTCCTTGGGGAATTACCAAAGAAATTAAAAACAAGGCTATGTTTTTCAAAGAGCTTATTTATAATTTACTAGGAAACATAAAACATAGTTGAAGGAACTATGAGAACTATTCAAAGAAAACATCAAGTTGTGTTCTCACCAAAATGTATAACCAAAATGTTTAACTTGGACCTCATCCTGAGAAAACAAGCAAATCCATATTGTCAAATGTTATATAGAGCATATATACCTAGGACAACTGTCTGAACTATTAGTGTCAATGTCATGACAACCAAAAAGGGAGAGGGGGGAGTGATGGGCTAGTGGAGACTAAGGAGATATGAAAACCAAATGTAATTCATGACCCATGATTGGATCCTTGAACAACAATGTCTGTTACTTTGATTCAGAACAAAATTAAGTGTGTGTGTGCATAGAGGGAGGGGAGGAAAGAAAGAGATAATATCACAGACGTGGCAAAATGTTAACAGTGACTCTTGGTGAAGAATACAAATACTGGCTACTGTTCTTTCAACTTTTCTGTAGTTTAATAAGAGTTTTTCAGAATTAAGAAGTTGGGATAAAATAAGAAGAACAGAACAAGGAGATTAGGAGGTAATCATTTGAGAATATAAGGCATGAAAGGACTTAAGCGGTAAGTGCGAGGTAGACTTAGTCATGTAGGTTATGTTTTTGAGGTGGGCTTTACTCTGTTAATAGACAGGAATCAGCAGGAGACAGGTAATCAGCTCCTCTAGTTGGAAAATGAAGTTGACTCTAGTACACAAAAGTATCTTTAATATTATGGAACATCTTGTCTTTAACTATGTCAAATAGGTTTAAATGGCATCATCTTTTATGATTCTTCTTTATTCTTTTCTCCTCTCATATATTTATTTGAGATAAATAAATCTCTGATCTGATCTGGTCTGATCATATTTAACCCCTTCCTGGAATTACCCAGAATTTGTATTCTTTTACAGGACAGTATAGTTTTTTTGGGTTTTTTTGTTTGTTTGTTTGTTTGTTTGTTTGTTTTTTACAAAATTTACTGTTAAACCAACTTCTGGCTATTTGCATTAAAGCATATGGTTTTATATTAATAGTTGCAAATACTGATTTTTCAGAACAACACTTTAGGTGAATCCTTCTCGACTTAGAATGTGTATACGAACACCAGTTGAAGTACAGTTTTTGATTCAGAAGGACTGAGATAAAGCCTGATACTTGAATTTCTGAGATGCTTCCTATTAATGCCAAAACTGATACTTCTGGTCCTTGACCCACAGTTCGAATAGCAAAGATCTAGAACAAGAGTCTCGGTGGGGTGATGGAATCATACGAGATGTGTACTGTAATCTTCCCAGAATAGTGAGTTACTTACCTTTAAATTAGCATTCCTGCCTCCCCAGCAAAATCTAAATTCCTTACCTGGGCCAACAGGTCCTCCTTGATCAGACCCTTGCCCATTGGCCATTGCTTCAACCTTTTATTTGCTGGCCACACTGAACTTTTGATTCATTGAATGCACCAAGCCTTTACCACTTCAGGGCCTCTATACTTAACATTTCCTCTTAGAAGGCACTTCACCCTGCCTCACAGTTGTCTTTATATTATCTGTTAAGGTTTCAGCTTATTGACATCCTCATAGCAAAGCCTTAGTTGACCATCCTATTTATTAAATATTTCTTCCAGGTTACTGGCTACCATTATTCTTTCACTATCTTTCCTATTACTGATTTATTTATTTACTGTCTGTCATTTTCTCTATTATAATTTAAGTTTCTTAAGGGCAGGGACCTTGTCTGTCTTGTTCACTTTTTATCCCTGGGCCTAGAACCATACCCAAGACATAGTTCAGTTCAGTCACTCAGTTGTGTCCGACCCTTTGTGACCCTGTGGACTGCAGCATGCCAGGCCTCCCTGTCCATCACCAACTCCCAGAGTTTACTCATGTCCATTGAGTTGGTGATGCCATCCAACCATCTTATCCTCTGTCATCCCCTTCTCCTCCTGCCTTCAATCTTTCCCAGCATCAGGGTCTTTTCCAATGAGTCAGTTATCGCAAGAGGTGGCCAAAGTATTGGAGTTTCAGCTTCAGCCTCAGTCCTTCCGATGAATATTCAGGACTGATTTCCTCTAGGATGGATTGGTTGGATCTCCTTGCAGTCCAGGAGGCTCTCAAGAGTCTTCTCCAACACCACAGTTCAAAAGCATC